AGCCTCGAGAAGGTGGGGGTGGGGCGGCCCCTGGTGGCGGGGGGCGGGGTCCGAGCGGGCTGTGTGGAGCCTTCAGACTCCCGGCGCCATTTAGCGCGGAGAGTTTCCTCGGCGGACGCGGCTCTTCTAACTCGGCCACTCTGCGCCTCCGTCTTCGGTGACAGAAGGCGCCTGGTGGGGGTGACTACTCTTTTCTCTCCCTATCCCCCTTCACCCAGTCCTCTCGGTCTCCTCTGCTCTCTATCCAGAGAAGCAGCGGAGCTCGGGCCCCGCGGTGAGCGGCCCTCCCCTCCCCACCGTTCCCTCCCTCAGTCAGCCCCCGGCACCGGCCCGGGAGGAGACGGGGGTTTGCCAGGCCCGGGGCGGGCGGGGAGGCCTCGGGGAAGGGGGGGCCCGCTCCTCAGGCACCGAGGTTTCGAGGCTTCGGTCTTCCCCATCCGGGCGATGGACGCCTTGTGAGACTGGTCCCCCTCACTGGGGGCGCGTGTGGGAGGCGGCGACCGACTGACTGTCCGGGGGCCCCAGGGCCCGGCCCTCCCTCTCCTTCCCCGGCCCCTCCCACTCTCTTTGGCCCTGGAGTTGCCACCGTTCGGGAGTCCGTGGTAGTCCCTGCCTCGCGTTGCCACCGCCCTCGGGGCCTAGCCCGCCCAGCCCGCGAAGCGGCGGGGAGCTGGAGCGGTCGCCGCATCCGCCGCATCCGCTTCGACTCAGTGCCGGCACCTTGCCCTGCCCCTCATGACTGCGGCGCCTCTGCTGCTACAGCCTTCCCGGCCGCCGCTCGCCGCAGGATGGATGTGGACCGCGAGGTGCTAACCCTGGTGGCTCAGCTCCTGGATCGTCCGCCGACGAGCCCGCCTTGTGAGCCGCAGCAGCCGCCGCAACTGGGCCCCGTGTCCCGCTTCGCCTTTGGGGTGACTTGTCATTGCTGAGTAAGGAGTCGTCCGGGTCGATCCGAACCCTCAGGGGAGCAGGAGCCGTCGTAGCTGGGCCTGTCGACCTTCACCCTTCCTCGGGTCGGCCCCTTGCCCTCTGTTCATTCTCAAATTCGAGACTGCCCGCCTCGCTCCAGCGGACCGACCATGTCTGGCGGCGCCGCGGAGAAGCAGAGCAGCACTCCGAGCTCTCTGTTCCTCTCGCCGCCTGCGCCTTCCCCCAAGAATGGCTCCAGCTCCGATTCCTCTGTTGGGGAGAAACTGGGCACGGCGGGAACCGACGCTGGAACTGGCAGGACTGAGGAGTATCGGCGTCGCCGCCACACTATGGACAAGGACAGCCGTGGAGCAGCCGCGACCACCACCACAGAGCACCGCTTCTTCCGCCGCAGCGTCATCTGCGACTCCAACGCCACTGCATTGGAACTGCCGGGTCTGCCACTTTCTCTGCCCCAGCCCAGCGTCGCCGCGGTGGTTCCGCAGAGTACTCCACCAGAGCTCCAGCGCGAAGAGACCTTGACCGCTACCGCCGCTTCCCAGGTAGCCCAGCAGTCTCCCGCCGCTGCTACTGCTGTCTCTGGGGAACCGGCCGCCGCGGGCCCTGTCGCCACGACTGCCCCCAGTAGTACCAGCAAAGACCGCCAAGTTTCTCAGCCCAACCATGTGGGGAGCAAGGAGGAGCCTCCGTCGGCGAGAAGTGGCAGCGGCGGCGGCAGCAGCGCCAAGGAACCACAGGAGGAACGGAGCCAGCAACAGGATGATATTGAAGAGTTGGAGACCAAGGCCGTGGGAATGTCCAATGATGGCCGCTTTCTCAAGTTTGACATCGAAATTGGCAGAGGCTCCTTTAAGACGGTCTACAAAGGTTTAGACACTGAAACCACTGTGGAAGTCGCCTGGTGTGAACTGCAGGTACAGCCCCGCCTATTTCTTTATTTTACAGTGGTTTGGATCCCAAATGTGGCTTGGTTAAGCCAGTTTATCGAGTTCATCCTTTGTCATTCTCTAACTGTTCTCTCTGAGTGGAAGAGATCAGCTTTCGAAAAAGATTGAAATTAGATTTTGGGGCATGTACCAAGAATTATTGGTAGCCAACGAAATTTGCTACTTGGGAAGAAGCGGTGAAAACAGTACAAACGCATTGCCTCGTTGTTACTGTTTTAGTGTCTGGCAGGAAGCTTGGACTTTGTGGGAAAGTTTTCGAATTGGGAAAGTACAGAGTCTTCTTGCCTTGTACATTTCAATCTCCTCAGCGGCTCTGCAATGATGAGCTGCTGGTGTGTTACATGCGTATGTCCATCCCTGAGATCAGGCTGTTCTTTTTAAATAAGAACGACCTCGTTCACGAATGACCTTCCTTTGGCTATATCTTAGTTGGTGGCTGCACAGGCATTTAATAATAACTATACTATAAAAAAAGACTTATCTGGCTAAATGCCTTGGGATTAGTAAGGTATAATAGTATTTGATATTGTTCCACCTAAGGTGCATAAGCCTTATGGGTAGCTAGCAGCGATCTGACATTGTTAATTAAAACTAATATGTCTTTAGCCCATTCGCTATACAGTAAATAGTGCAGGAGTCCACACAAAATTGTCTAAGTGCTTTGAGAGTTGTGATGTCATTGTTTTAATCTTGTTATAAAAGGTTTTTAAGTCAAACTTTCCCAAGAGTTCAAAGGAGTCACAATGCTTTTTTTTTAATCTTTCAGGGAGGTTTTCATGGTGTAAATAATGGTGTGTCATTCTGGTTGACAAGTATATTCTAGGTTTAAAAAGCTAGATTTGGGCTACTTGTTGCTTTACCTATAGCAACTTGATAGCCTCACCAGGAAGTGAACAGAGGTTATTGGAAGAAGCAGTTACACTGAATGAAAAAGTCAGCTACATTATGTATGAAAAATGCCATTATCCATATTCTTCATGCTAAGGAAACGGACCAAGCTGATACAGGATATGAAAGTAACTGAATGATCTAGGAATTTATTTTATTCATGAACTAATATGTTAATACATGATCCTTTGAATGTCACCTTCCAAATGACTAAGGCCACATCAAATGGGAAGGGAAATTAACATGTGGAAGGAAGTAAACTTAAAAACTGAGAAGTTCTTTAGAACATAATTTTTTAGGTTTTACAGTTAGTGATGTAGAACTTCTAGGGCATTGTGAAATAACTGCTCAATTTTATAGTGGTTTAGAATTGGAAAGGTGGCAGACCTTTTAAAGAAAAGCTTGTCGAACTGTAACTTTATTTCTGTTGGTTAAGTCATACTGAAAACTTAGGTCAGGTGCTTGCTTGGGCAGCACATATACTAAAATTGGAATGATACAGAGATTAGCATGGCCCCTGCACAAGGATGATATGCAAATTGGTGAAGCAGTTCATATTTGGGGGGCTTCGAGTACTTAATTAATTAAAAATCTAATGAGTCTTAAAACTTAGATCTGATGTCTTATGGTTTACAGGCAAAAATTTAGTTTACAGGCAGACACCTATTTTTTTGTACTCAGGGCGTCTGTTGCTACTGATCTGGATTTTATTCGTTATAGCTTTGTATTTGAATAGGGCTTTTTAACAATTTCGTTCCTTAATTGGTTACCTTTACCCTCGAGACTGGACCCAAGTAAATGTTGAGCACTTTATGGATTCATTTTGGTAGTTTCAGTTATTTAACTTCGAAGACTTCTCAGAATGTAATGTGTGTGTTTTCCTTTATCACCTAGATAGAATTTTCTGATAGTCGATTATCTTGGAACTAATGGTGCAATGGAAAAAACTCAGTTCGTCTAATGTCACAATAAGAATTTTGTCTGAGCGTCTCAGTTTTACTTAGAATGGAAGCCTTTGGATTTTTGTTCTCTATCTAGGCATAGACAAAACTAAAGAATATCTGATACCTTTATGTATAATGTTGCTATATTATTTTCAAGCAAGTTCAAGATTTGGCTGCAGAACCCCTACTTCATTGAGTGGTACCCTGGTTTAGAAACTTCCATATGTCGTTTGGTCCTGCTTCTATAATTTTTCTTTCTTTCTTTTTTTTTTTTAAATGAGACTGCCCTAGCCTAGGATCCTTAGAAGTTGGTGTGCAGTGTTTTTGTTTTTTTGACGAAGACTTTTGCCTAATAACTTATTCATTAGGTTAGTGTTTGAGTTTTTGTCTTTGGATCCAAATTAAAGGACAAGCCGAGGGATTACTAAAGTTTTGGGAAGAAAGGAAAGCTTTTTTCATTAAATATATATACTTCTAATATATGGATTTTTCTATAAAAAGACAGGAGAAATAGCGTTCAGGTGTTGTGTTAAAAATCTTAGTGTATTAAAACCGGAAGAAATCGTAGGTTATTCTGCCTAACTCCTTATTTATTTATTTTCAACTATTTATTTGATAAAGAACCTGAAATCATAGAGCAAGTAAATGACTTGCTTAGACTGGTAAAGAACGCAGACTGGTTAGGATCTAATAATTTGGGAAATGTTAAAGCATTCGTAGCTTAGTAGATGGCTAATTAGTAAATCTCAAATGAAGCAATTCTGTTTTGGTGTGGAGGTCATCAAATTTTTGACTTCTGATTCGGGTATTGATTTTATCACTTCAAATGGAGAAATAGGCTTTTGGGGTTGGAGAATGGGTTAAGTGTGGTATACCAATCGAACTTGTTTCCTTCCAGCTTTTTTTTTAGAGTCACAGTATGTATAGCTATCTATTAAAACAAGTATCAATTCTTAAAGTAAATGATATATAAATAATGCTTTGATACTACAGGATTTTAAGTGACAACTGAGATCTTTTAAGATGCAAATTTCTTAACCTTGTTATATTAGGCAAATTATATGCGTTGGTCAGAAAATGTTAATGCTGGACTTTGCAGAGTTTACATTGCTTTTCTAGGGAGGAAATTTTTTTTTTTTTTTTTAAGAAACAGCATAGTTTGCTTTAAGAAAATGTATTTATACAGAGTTAGGAATGATTTACTTTAAGCACTTTTCTCCCCAAGTTGCTTCTAAATATGGAGTACACTTGTTATATTCACTTATGTATTGATGAGATTGTTTCCCAATTTCTCTGAGGTCAAATCATAAATTTTATTTAAGCTCCAATATACTTAGTTCTTACTTTTCTCTTGCTTTGGTAAGTTAAAGCTCATGTGTCATTGTGAATATATGATATTATTGTTTTATAAAAAGTCGAGCAGTGCTTCAGAAATGGGATGTGATTCTGTGATTAAGAAACCATAACTTCTTTGTTACAATTCTTAAAATAATTGATTGAACCGAATCTTTTCCCATCTGAATTTTGGGGATTGTTTTTACCTTTACTTTTAAATTTTTTTGCCACATTCCTCGTTTTTTTTAGGATGAGAATCTGCACTAATTTTCAGTCCCAGGAACTAGACTTCAGGGAATAGTCTTTGGAGTTTGTTTTTAATTCTCATAGTCCCTTATGAGTATGGGCAAAATTGAGATAACTCAAGGGTAGCTGCTATGCTTATTAGAGAATGATTGGTGACTTGTTCAAAATAATCCTTTGTTCTATCTAAACAGGACAAAATAGAATTAAAAGCAGAATAATTTTGATTAGGTAAGATCAGTGTTTTAAAATATATTTAGTATTATTGTTGTAGGAAGTAACCTTTGTGGTACAGGAATTGAGAATTACATTTAGGTTAATTTTTTTTAATAATGTAGCTCTTACTTAGGGGTTTACATGTTATCTTTTTCTTTTATTTACCTTTTTTTTTTTTTTTTCACCTTTAGTATCACAGTTGTTCCTAGTTGTAAGAACTTGGAAAGCAAGGTTGTTTTTGTGTAAAACAAATTGGGAATCTATTGTTGCCAGGTGACTGAGTTCATTTCTTGGCATTCAGAATCTAGTACAAAATCCTGGTGATTTGAAAGTCCTAGTTAAACACTATGGAAACATTCAATTATAACTAAGTCTTCATTTTCAGATATCATCCTAAACCTGTGATTTGAGTTTGGATTTTCTGGTAGCATTAATTTTTTTAGATAAAGCTGTAAAAGCAGCAAGAGTGGTTATGCTCAAATTAATTTCTGAAAGTGTTAATTTAATAATATTTACAGTTACTAGGTTTTGCTGTACTACTACTATATATTTATTTTTAGCATCTTGCATTTTATTTGCATTTAGCATCTTGCATTTTATTTTGTTTTGTTTTTTAACATAGGACCAGTCTCATCTGCAGGAATAGATAAGACTTAGCATAACTTGAATTTGGATTTGAAGAGGGCACTATTTTTCTGCAGTATAACATAGTAATTAAGAGTTAAACTGCCTGATTCAGCTAATGGTTGTGTCACTTTGAGCAACTTCTGTGCTAGTTTTTTATCTGTAAATAGAATGTAGTAAGTACCTATTCTATAGAGTTGTTGTGATGGTTGAGTGACACGTGTGTGTGTGTGTGTAAAAAGCATTTATGACAGGGCCTGCCACATAAATATAAACTATGATGGTACAGCTCTTTTAGGCCATCTTTGAGATATCAGTGAAGATTTTCTTTGATTTGTTTACATTTATGCTTGAAAAATCATGTAGCAAAATTCTTACTGTTGCTACCATTCTTATAGGAGGAAATTTGGAGTTGAACATGGTGTCATCAGTACTTTCAAATTCTTTGGCTTTACCTGTTTTCTGCCTAACTTTCTAATTTAATGAGCTGTCAGTTTTCCAATGCCAGCCTTTCTGAATTACTAGGTTCCAGAATTTGCTAAAATCTTTTTCCTTTTGGTATCATTTTAATAACAGTATTCAGATTGTTTTGAAGTCATTTACCTTTTTTTTGTCTACTCCTTTAGTGTTTGAGCTCTTCAAAGATATAAGTAGGTGTGCAATATACTTTAATAAATATTAAAATTTTTCTGTTATTAAGTTACAAATAGTTATAGA